AAAAAAAAAAAAAAATTAATAATAATAATTAAACGAAGCAGAGAATAATAATATTTTTTGGGTGTAAATTATTTTAATAAATAAATTTGATTAAACCACATTAAAATTTAAATTATAAAACGATATATAAAATACTAAAAAGAAATGTTTTTTCGAAATGAATGTATAACTAAACTATACTGTATAATAAATTATACAAAATATAATGTAAATTTAGAAAAATTAATCGATATAAATATAAAAATTTGAATTTTTAAAGAAAATTTTCCTATATTTGTATACAATGATGTGGTCTGTAAGGATTTGTAATAAGGGTATTTTTTTTTAATGCAAAATGTTTTAGTTAAGATATTCGAATCGAGTCAATTTAAAATGTTTAAAAACTAGCGTATAGATATTTAAATAGAATAACAGTAGACCCCCCTATAACACTGTTGATAATTCCGTGTTATATGAATTCCATGTTGTACGGGTCACTTAGATTTTACAAATACGTGAGCCGTTCACAGCCAGGCACACGTATTTGTAAAATCTAAGTGATTCGTACAACATGGAATTCATATAACACGGAATTATCAACAGTGTTATGGGGAGTATTGCTGTGTTCTAAAAGCAACAGTGTATTGCTTTTAGAACACGCAATAAACGGTTAGCATACATTTTATAAGCAGAATAATATTTGATTATCACATTGAAAAGGTGGACATAACACTTATGCAAACTTATACGTGTGTAACAATAAATTATATTTTAAAAACGTAAATAATTTTCTTTTATCGGTTATTATAATTAAACTATAGACCAATAAATTTAGCTTAATTTTTAATTTAACGTTATAAAATATTATTATTATTTTTTTAAATAAAATTTTAATTAGAATTTTTAAAAATTAAATTATTAATGTCACGGTGTTTAATATCACCTAGAGAATTTATTAAATATCTTGTTACATAATTCAATTATTGTATGATGTCATAGAATCTTTACTAGATTTTTCTAGCGGAAAAAATGGGGGAAAAAAGTAATAATTATTGAATGATGATATAAAGTGGCGAATAAAAAAAAAACATTTCTAAGAATTTTAAATTTAAGAAATTAATATTACTAATTAAGTTTAAAAATTTCAATATAATTCTATTACAACAAATTCATTATTCATTTAATTAGCCATTGTTATAATGTGTGAGCAATCTCACTATATATTTTATCAGTAAAAAATGACAAAATGTATAATGATTTTACTATATATGTAAGTCTTTCTTGGAAATCATTAAGTTAGAAAACGATTTTATAAACGTTTCCAAGACAGATCTATCGATACAATTTATCTATAATGAACTTAATCGATATTCGACACTCAATAAAATTAAAAAGAAACTACTTGGGAAAACAATAAACAATCAACTCACCCAAATTCGATTTTGGATCTGTCGCTTCTACTGAAAAATGGAACGGAATAGGTCACAACCCACGTGTTTCCGCCTCCACAATCGTAGTATGGTGCAGACCACATTCCATCTTCCGGTCCAACAATAATATCCATTTTCCAATCTTCGATGACGTAATCACTAGTTTTACTCAATAAGATATCCGAATAATTTTTTAGCGCTTGTTGCCAGAACCATTCGTTTCCGATCCAATTTGGATCGTCGTAAGAATGATTATAAGTTTTGGCCAGATCTTTAGTTTCGATGATGGCACCGATTCTATATGCAAAAGGACAGAAGAGAGAGTTTTCAGGACGGAATCTTCCTCTTTGGAATGCAATAGCGCTACTAAACACTTGTTGCTCACTCTGTACATTAAGTTTAACAATCGTATAATAGAAGTCTTCATTGTGTAAAAGTTCCGATACGTCTTTCGTCTTTAGAAAGAGAGTTGTGAGAAAATTGGCTGTTTTAATTGCTGTAAAAACTTCTGAATCGAATAAATCGTAGGTCTCGTTTGACAGTTCGTATCTAAAATGTGACAATGAGGCCGTAGTGCAGTATTGACTATCACTGCGGTTGTGCGTTAGTTCAATGTAATGAAGAACTGCTGTCACAAAATCATCACGGTCTAATAAACGTCGAACTTGTTCGTTATGTTGCAGATGAAGAGTTCTGCTAAATCTTCGAAATCTTCGCGATAAATGGGTTAAATTCGCATGCATATCGTTAAAATGGAATGTTAAATCTCCATGTTTAACATTCGAATGCGTCCAAACTATAAAACATAAACGTAGAACGAGCATTAACAATAACTGTTTCTTCATTGTAATTTGACTTTTAGCACCAAACATGAAATCTTAATATTTCCGGTTTCGACCTCTTAAAGGCCATTTTTAATCCGCCTATCAATGCAGAGCTGATTCTTTATGGCAGATTTCTGTAATCCAATATTTTATAGATTAGTTATTTTAAAAAATGTATTACTACTTGGTCACCTAAAATATGAATAGAAAAGAAAAGAAAAGAAAAAAAAATACACACACAACTTTATTAAAATTAATTACAGAAAAACTAATATAAACTATTTATAATTATGTTAATTATGTATAATTTTATAAATTATAAATAAAAAAAAATACTGTATATATATATATATACTTAATTCAATAAACAAATCTTTATTTTCTTTAAACAGCCATAACTTGTTAGAAGCCAAAGAAATTCAAAGTTAAATGTAATGTAAACATTTAACTCAGAATACAACAAATATTTTACTCTATTTAGGTACTCTTTATCACAGGAAAAGCAAAATTATTTAGCTTAATTTAGATTTTTAGCTACCAGTCTCATGTAGAAAACCTTTCAACTATTTACTACACAAATTTTTATGTAGTCTTAAACTATGTTAAATCTATTTTTAAATAGATTTTGTATAATTATACTTTTATTTATTATTATTATTATTATTATTATATTTGAATATATAATTACATAGTAAATGAAATTTATTTTATTAAGAAATCGGCGATTTATCGAATAAAATGAAATTTATATTTACACGAAGAATCAAATATTAGGATATCATTTATAATCGAATTTGTAATGTAGATTTAAAGAATGCAAAACTAATTTACAGACATAAGATTGAACTGGAAACAGATACGTATTACGTCATTTATACTATTTAAATAAATCGATTAATTAAACTTACGTAACGTTGTAAAAATCCACATTGCAATGAAATATGTCATGCACAAAACAGTCGCTCCCTTAGCGTTATATTTTCATTCAGTCTTAAATGGCTGCTGACATAGTATAGAGGGCGCTCGAATTTAGTGTAAAGACTTTTTACCTATAAAAATCATACCACACTCGTCTATACGGTTATTGTCTACTGTACTTCTTCTCTTGTCTATCTATATTGTTACCACGATAGAGGAGTAACGTATAATCACTTCACTTCTGCTTCATTCCTACACCCTCCTCAGTAAAACGTATCTTACTTCCCTACCCTATCATACATCTTGCGACAGGACCTAAACGCCATCTTTCCTTTTGGAATCGATTTATTAAGCGCCTAGTCCCGTCTGGATACATACTACTTTAGTAACAAAACCGTCAGACTTTATTGCTTTTATTATATAATTTAAATTAAACGAAATACTATTAATCTATTAATAATTATTTAAGAATATTATAGCTTGCCGTTCGTATAAAAAAAAAAAAAAAATCATTCAAATTTTTAAAAGAATATTACGAATTTTTATGTATTCATTAACTGCATTACCATCGTGTAATGCAGTACAGTTGATGATAGTTGCGATTACTAATCGACTATATCGATTTATTTAATTGCATTGTATTTTATAATTATATTAGAATATTTTTTTTGTTTTTGTATAATACATATATATATATATATATATTATTTTTTTTCTTTCTTTCTTTTCAATTATTCCATTTTATCTGTTTCTCTTTTAGGATCTCATTCCGAAGTCATTTCTGTTTAATTATAAGCAATTTCCGTAAATTTTTGCAGGAAATATGAGATGATTGATGATTTATTAAGAAAAAGAAAATACGAACGAGCACCGATATTAAATGAAATCACCCGAAATCTTCGATTTCGGGGTGATTTCATTTAATATATAACACAAAAAAAAAANAAAAGAAAAGAATAAAATAAAATAAAATCTAAATATAATACAAATGTAATACAATAAAGTTATTATAAAAAGACGAATGCTTAGATTTTTAATATATGCCTAAAGATTATAATATTTGCAACTTTAATTAGATAATTTTTCGAAACTACTGTAAATCATTTCCCCAATTACAGTCAACTATAATAATTTATATCACGTACCAAAGAAAGTTCGAATTTAAAAAAAAATAAAATAAAATAAAATAAAGGAGTTGTTATCGCAGTAATTATTCGAAGAGTTCATAGGAGTGTATCTTTTCGTGACGTTAAGGTGTCAATTTATTCTAAAAGCAAAACGAGTGGGCAGCAATCACTCGTATTTCCATAACTGGTATCATATAAATTATTTTGGAAATATATTAGATCCGATACCATAATTCTTTATATAAAAAAAAAAAAAAACTGAATATTTTTATATATATTTATAGGAATTAATTTCGAAATGATACATCAAATTCGACTTTATAAATTGAACATTCCTAAAAATAAATTGTATTAATTTTAAGAGATTTATACTACTTTTATTGACAGTTTATAAATGTCCGATCTGTTACCACATGAGAAAAATGTTGGCAGTCTATAAGTCTATGCGGATATATAGATAAAGCAGATCAATAATAGAATCTTTACACAGCTTGTTTGCTTTTGAAATGCTTGTTTATATATATATACACACACACATATAAACTGCATAAGTATGACATAAGAGATTATTTGAGAAATTACATATCGATAAATACATCGTTTCTAATAGTTTACATTAAATCTACAAAGTAGAATATATTTCAGTAGCGATTCTTTCACGTTGTTTTACATAGCAATTGCTAAAGATTTATTCACTGATTAAAGTATAGTATATATGTGTATTACCGGAGGAGCCATTTTTAAGTAATTGTTTTCCAACTTAATTTATCAATTACAGTCTAAATTCAAAGCATGCAGTATTTTGTATTGCACAGAAGACGAATAAAATTTTTAAAATTCAGTTGAATGTCCTTTCAATCAATGTGAATCAGATACGAAAGGTCATTGGTAAAGCAATTTGCATCTGACAGCTCTTTATAAAGAATTAACTCGATTTTTGCTATCAAATGTATTTGAATAAAGATATAAAAAGCTATTAACAAGATTGAATAGTCGCGCATTCAATTTTTTCTAAACGAAAATAAAACGAATATATTATTTATTATTATTATTATTATTAATTAATTAATTAACTCTTTAAATGCAATTTATTAATACTTCAAGAATGCATATATAATGGGAAGAAATGATTGATAGTTAGAAACAATTGGCATCAATCAATTGTTTCTGATATATTGATAAATATGAAAATTTATAATTAATAATAGAGGAAACAGATTTAATTGTTTCTTTTTACATATAAGACTTATTTACATTAATTTTTAACAAAATGTGTAGCGATTTAAGTTAATAAATTCTCACGATAATGTAATAAATCGATCATTTTTAAGGTTGTAAACGGTCTTTCTTCACTTAAAAAAATTATTATCATTTACATTTTCTATGATTTTTATGATCTGGATAAGTATATACTTATTTTATGCTTAAGGGTATATTTACAAGCATTTAGAAGTAAAGAATCAACAGAAACACCGTTCAGGATTATGGATAAGTGGCAACTTTAAAAATTGATTTAGCCTACACACAATGTTGATAAATACAATTTTAACAATGAAATATGTGAATAAACTGCTTTAAAATTTTAAATACATAAAAGAAATAAATTTTATGTAATTGATAAGTCTCTTAATTATAAAAAAAACTTCAAAGTACTTCAGTAAATTACGATTAAACCTTCATCAGCCATTACCATGTAAAGTAAGTCTTCACTTCGTGACTTTCTTTAATAAATGATAATATTTACTTTGTGCTTACATTAAGGTTAAATAAGCTTGTTTCCGAGTAAAAGCCTTTATAACAAAAATTACACATTTATTTACTCGACACATCTGCTTAGTTTAGGCAATTACTTTACATTTAATTCAATCAAATGAACTTACTGTACTTGTTGGATATTTTTTATATGCAATGTAAATTAGTCATTTAGTGGCTATCACGATCTGTTTTAATCTCTCCGCACATACACATTATTATTATTATTATTATTATTAATTTTTTAGATTCTTTTCGTCTTGTGGTCACTAATAAGGATTTTCTTCGGCCAGGTTCGGACAGGGCCCTTAGGAGATTGCCGAATATAAAAAACTGAGTACATATCATTTCCGCCATGAAAAATTTCTGTAATTACATGCTATAGGCTGAAGCTTTGGACATAAGCTTAAACCACAAAGAAGAGATAATGACTCAGTACAATTTGACACAAGCATGTTGAAAACACGGCCACTCCTGTGGAAAGTGCTTCATTCTGCTATCACGATTATCAAATTTAAATGTATTGATTTCTTAAGATAAGCAAGTGTTAAACGAATTTAAAGATATATCGGAGTGCCCAAGAGACCTGCCGAAAGCATTTAACACGATACACGATACAACGATTATCCAATTTCGGCAATTATTACAGGTACTGTACTGTATAGTACATCTGTGCTGCATTGAGACGATCTCTGTATTCAACAAAAGGTAAAACTTGTTTTGAATATTTATATAATAATCATTAAATATAATAATAATATTCAATATTTTTAAATATTATCAGATTATCTTCATTCTATGATATTTCCGTTATGAAAAATTTCGCTTTTAATGTAAGTTACGTTCCAAGACTTCTATAAGCGGAAATTCGCGTAAAATAACGAATACTATTAATTATTAATTTTCGATTATTTCTTTAATTTCATGTAATTAACGGAAAGGTAAAGTTTTGCCGGGAAAACTGAAGTCATTTCTTTTCAATAAAATGGCATCTAGGTAAAGAATTCTTTGGGTAAACGAAAGAAAAACGAAAAAGCATATTCTGTTAAACATTAGCGAGGTTGCAGCCGAAGTTTTCATCTCTCAAACGTGAACGCCGAACGTCGAGCGCCGCTATCAAGATAGCGGCGCTCGACGTTCGGCGTTCACGTTT